TCAGCATGTTCCGCACGCGCGTGGCGCGGGAGAGCATGACGTAGAGGTGCAGCCACCACATATCGTCCGACATGCCCGTGCAGCCAGCGTCCTCATCCCTGGCGCAGTCGACGGTGACGCCCTTGCGCAGCGTCTGGCCCTGCGACAGCGTGGAGGTCAGGTAGGACGCGTGCGTCAGTGTGAATCCCGAGCGGCGCACAGTGTGCGCCCCCGAGCTTTGCCACGTGAACTCCTGCCCGCTGGGCCTGAACATGAGCAAGCTCCTCGCCCGCGCTTCGGCCTCGCCGTCGTCGGCAGCGCCATCGGCGCCCTGCTGCAGCACCTCGGCGACCTCCGTGCAGATCGGGGACTCCTGGAAGCCGTGCGCCTGCAGCCAGATTCCCTGCGGTAGGTATCGGGGGCGGAAGAGCTGGCCCGGCGCGCACCCCTCGTAGTCCCGCTCGTCGTCTGCGTGAAACTCGAAGGACACGATGGTGGCCCGTTGCTCCTGCACGAGCCCCAACTTCTTCTTCAGCTCCTCCTGCGCGGCCGTGAACCGGACCTCCATGCCGACGTGTGCCGGTTAGACGCCGTGGATGTCCCCCGTCTCGTGCATGTTCGGGACGTTCAGGAGGCGCCGGCCTGCACCTTGGTCGCCTTGAATCGCGCCGCACTCGTCTACGGCCTGCAGGAAGACGAGGGGGGCGCCGAGGCGCCGCGCGTCGCGACGAGCGCGCGCGTTGATCCACCTCGCCAGCGTCTCCCAGTAGATGCCCACGCCGTAGCCGAGCCGGAAATTCTCGTGCTGGCGCCGTGGGTCCAGGACGAGATTTCCTCCATATTCAAATCTCAAGAGACCAAAAATGACGACAGTTGCACGTTGCGGATGACCCGCTCGGATTCGAACATGAAGTGCGGGCCCCATAGGGAGGAGGCCCCCGCCTGAGACTTCCTCACAATTCACTCACAGACGAGGCTCCCGCCTGATACTTCCTCCATATTCAAGCCTCAAGATCCCAAAAGTGACGACAGTTACACGTTTCGGATGACCCGCTCGGATTCGAACATGAAGTGCGGGCCCCTTAGGGAAGGGGCTCCCGCCTGAAACTTCCTCGCAATTCACTCACATTCAGGCCTCAAGAGCCCAAAAGTGACGACAGTTACACGTTGCGGATGACCCGCTCGGATTCGAACATGAAGTGCGGGCCCCATAGGGAGGGGGCTCCCGCCTGAGACTTCCTCGCAATTCACTCACAGACGAGGCTCCGCTTCGAGAACTTCCTCCATACTCGGGTCTCAAGACACCCCAAAGTAGGACGAGGCCCCCGCCTGATACTTCCTCCAATTTCAGGCCTCAAGAGCCAAAAAGTGATGACAGTTACACGTTTCGGATGCCCGTCGGGATTCGAAACAGACGTGCGGGCCCATAGGGAGGGAGCTCCCACCTGAGACTTCCTTGAAATTCACTCACATTTCAGGTCTCAAGAGCCCAAAACGTGACGAACAGTTGCACGTTGCGGATGACCCGCTCGGATTCGAACATGAAGTGCGGGCCCCATAGGGAGGGGGCTCCCGCCTGAGACTTCCTCGCAATTCACTCACACACGAGGCTCCCGCCTGATACTTCCTCCATATTCAGGCCTCAAGAGCCCAAAAGTGACGACAGTTACACGTTTCGGATGACCCGCTCGGATTCGAACATGAAGTGCGGGCCCCATAGGGAGGGGGTTCCCGCCTGAGACTTCCTCACAATTCACTCCTATTCAGGCCTCAAGAGCCCAACCATGACGACAGTTGCACGTTGCGGATGACCCGCTCGGATTCGAACATGAAGTGCGGGCCCCATAGGGAGGGGGCCCCCGCCTGAGACTTCCTCACAATTCACTCACAGACGAGGCCCCCGCTCGAGACTTCCTCCATATTCAGGTCTCAAGAGCCCAAAAGTGACGACAGTTACACGTTGCGGATGACCCGCTCGGATTCGAACATGAAGTGCGGGCCCCATAAGGAGGGGGCCCCCGCCTGAGACTCCCTCACAATTCACTCACGGACGAGGCCCCCGCCTGATACTTCCTCCATGTTCAGGCCTCAAGAGCCCAAAAGTGGCGACAGTTACACGTTGCGGATGACCCGCTCGGATTCGAACATGAAGCGCGGGCCCCATAGGGAGGGGGCTCCCGCCTGAGACTTCCTCACAATTCACTCACAGACGAGGCTCCCGCTCGAACCTTCCTCCATATTCAAATCTCAAGAGCCCAAAAGTGTCGACAGTTGCACGTGGCGGATGCCCGCTCGGATTCGAACATGAAGTGCGGGCCCCATAGGGAGGGGGCTCCCGCCTGAGACTTCCTCACAATTCACTCACAGACGAACTCCCGTCTGAGACTTCCTCCAGGTGAGTATGTGAATGAGTGAGCGTGTGACAGAGTGCGAGTGGTGATGATGATGATGATGGTGATGATGATGATGGTGAGTATGTGAGTGACTGAGCGTGTGAGGGAGCGCGAGTGATGATGCGGATGTTGATGATGAGAGAGTGTGAGTGAGTGTGAGTGTGAGTGAGTGGTGATGATGATGAGTGAGTGAGTGAATGTGCGAAGGCAGAAGAGGAAAGGGTGCGGGGTGAGTGTTCCTGCGCGGGGTGTGCAGAGAAAACAAGAAACCCACTTTGGACGTGGGGAAAAAGTGGCGACAGTTATACGTTTCGGATGACCCGCTCGGATTACCAACATGATCTGCGGGCCCCATAGGGAGGGGGCCCCCGCCTGAGACTTCCTCGCAATTCACTCATACTTGAAGTGCGGGCCCCAAAGGGAGGGGGCCCCCGCCTGACACTTCGTCGCAATTCACTCACAGACGAGGCCCCCGCTCGAGACTTCCTCCATATTCAAATCTCAAGAGCCCAAAAGTGACGACAGTTGCACGTTGCGGATGACCCGCTCGGATTCGAACATGAAGTGCGGGCCCCATAGGGAGGGGGCTCCCGCCTGAGACTTCCTCACAATTCACTCACAGACGAGGCCCCCGCTCGAGACTTCCCCCATATTCAAATGACAGTTGCACGTTGCGGATCGCCCGCTCGGATTCGAACATGAAGCGCGGGCCCCGTAGGGAGGGGGCCCCCGCCTGAGACTTCCTTACAATTCACTCACAGACGAGGCCCCCGCCTGATACTTCCTCCATATTCGGGCCTCAAGAGCCCCAAAGTGACGACAGTTACACGTTGCAGATGACCCGCCCGGATTCGAACATGAAGCGCGGGCCCCATAAGGAGGGGGCCCCCGCCTGAGACTTCTTCACAATTCACTCGCAGACGAGGCCCCCGCCCTAGACTTCCTCCATATTCAGGTCTCAAGAGCCCAAAAGTGACGACAGTCGCACATGGCGGATGACCCGCTCGGATTCGAACATGAAGTGCGGGCCCCATAGGGAGGGGAGGGGGCTCCCGCCTGAGACTTCCTCGCAATTCACTCACAGACGAGGCTCCCGCTCGAGACTTCCTCCATATTCAATCTCAAGAGCCAAAAGTGACGACAGTTGCACGTTGCGGATGACCCGCTCGGATTCGAACATGAAGCGCGGGCCCCATAGGGAGGGGGCTCCCGCCTGAGACTTCCTCACAATTCACTCACAGACGAGGCTCCCGCTCGAGACTTCCTCCATATTCAGGCTCAAGAGCCCAAAAGTGACGACAGTTGCACGTTGCGGATGACCCGTTGGATTCGAACATGAAGTGCGGGCGCCCATAGGAGGGGCCCGCCGCCTGAGACTTCCTCGCAATTCACTCACAGACGAGGCTCCCGCTCGAGACTTCCTCCATATTCAGGCCTCAAGAGCCCAAAGTGACGACAGTTGCACGTTTCGGATGACCCGCTCGGATTCGAACATGAAGTGCGGGCCCCATAGGGAGGGGGCTCCCGCCTGAGACTTCCTCGCAATTCACTCACAGACGAGGCTCCCGCTCGAGACTTCCTCCATATTCAGGTCTCAAGAGCCCAAAAGTGACGACAGTTGCACGTTGCGGATGACCCGCTCGGATTCGAACATGAAGCGCGGGCCCCATAGGGAGGGGGCTCCCGCCTGAGACTTCCTCACAATTCACTCACAGACGAGGCCCCCGCTGATACTTCCTCCATATTCAGGCCTCAAGAGCCCAAAAGTGACGACAGTTACACGTTGCGGATGACCCGCTCGGATTCGAACATGAAGTGCGGGCCCCATAGGGAGGGGGCTCCCGCCTGAGACTTCCTCGCAATTCACTCACAGACGAGGCCCCCGCTCGAGACTTCCTCCATATCCAGGTCTCAAGAGCCCAAAAGCGACGACAAGCGCACGTTGCGGATGACCCGCTCGAATTCGAACATGAAGTGCGGGCCCCATAGGGAGGGGGCTCCCGCCTGAGACTTCCTCACAATTCACACACAAACGAAGCTCCCGCCTGATACTTCCTCGAGTGCGAGTGATGATGATGATGATGATGGCGATGAGTATGTGAGTGACTGAGCGTGTGAGAGAGCGCGAGTGATGATGTTGATGTTGATGATGAGAGAGTGTGAGTGAGTGTGAGTGTGAGTGAGTGGTGATGATGATGAGTGAGTGAGTGAGTGTGCGAACGCAAAAGAGAGGAGGGGGTGGGGCGAGTGTTCCCGCGCGGGGTGCGCAGAGAAAACAAGAACCCCACTTTGGATGTGGGGGGGGAAAACACGCCACGAACATAAGCTTTTGGCGTTCCGCGCAAATTTCTTGCACCCGCGCTGGACCCGCCTCCCCGGCGCGCGCGGCGCGCCAGGGGCGGCGCCAGAGGCGCGACCGGGGGGGCCCAGCGCGGGTCCAAGAAACCCGCGCGGAGCGCCAAAAGTGAATGTTTATGGCGTTTTCTTCGTCTTCGAAATACTCCAGAATTCGCAATAAAGGGAGGGGGGTCTCATTTCGGGGGGGGTCTCTTCCAGGCTATCTTGGAGGGTTCGGGGGGGTCTGGGGACGATGTTTTGGAGGGCTCTCCCACGGGGGAGGTCTGAAATGGCTTGTCTTGGAGGGTCCAGACCCCCTCCCTTTCATTACGAAATCTGGAGTGCATGTTGAGGCCTGGGCGGCTGCAGACACGGCCGGCGCCCCACGGAGCCGCGAAGGTGGCGACCTGCAGGAACAACGAACGGCGACGCCAGCGCCACCAGGGCGAGGAGATGCGAGGAGCAACGGGGGTCTCCCTGGCGGCGTGGCTCCCCACTCTCGTTCGAGACACCCCCAGCCTCCCGCGCGGGGCGGCCTCGTGGACCTCCTCGCTGGAGGTGGCCCCCCCGGCGGTGTCGGCGTCGCTTCCCCCCCCTTCCCAACGTGCGCCCCGTCCACGGAAGGCCGCGGCAGGTGGCCCCACTGCCAGTAGACGTCCTTGGCGCGCTCCATGGCAGACCTCCACAGATCGTTCGCGAGCGTCTCCTGTGGGACGCACAGAGACACGCTACTGCCACGCGTCCTCCTCGGAGGCATCCGCCCGACCCGAACAGATAGCATGCCCATCTTGCGTTATATCGCGTCGCGAGCGGCGCGGCCAGAAAGCGCCCGCCACGACGCATATACTATAGAATTCTCGGCGCGCGCGGCGCCCCAGGGGGGGCGACGTACACGTAGTATTAGTATGTTGGGGTGACGCCGATCCTTCTCCGCTTGCGACAGCATCAAGCCAGCGTCGCGCACCCGCTCAATCGCTTGCGCATACGCCCCCCCCCGGCTCTGGCGACGTGATATCGGCATGCGCCTTTTCGAGCGCATCGGTCTTTGGGGTGTCTGCCAACGCATACTTCAACAAATAACTAGCACTGCGATTGTTGATACAAGCGCCCATCACCATACCATATACAAACGTCGGCATGTCGATCTCGAAGGTATACTTGGCGATATGCGTCGGCGCCCCCCTTGCCTTAATTACCCTTGCCGCGCCAACTCCAGCAGGCCTCGGGCGCCTCTGGGCGCCCGGAAAGTCCCTGCGCAACCCTGTCGAAAACGTGGCCGCCGATCCACGCGATGTTCGGACTCGCGCGGAGGAATGAGGATGTCAACGCTCGCGCTAGGTCCAACAGCGAGGCCCGCTCCAGAAATCACGGCGCGCGATGGGTTCGCGCCAATGTAGGCATTGCCTTGACTCCAGATGTCTGCGCTTGCACGCTCCGCCGCATCGTCATCGCTGCTTGGCGTGGTGGGCTGCAGGATCGCCTGCCCGCTCACCTTCTGCAGCCCATAGAACGACATCATGACCGTCTCGTTCGTCGCCTGCTGCAGGACGTCACCGCTCGGGACGTAGGGCTCCGAGGGCCAGCCGCCGTCGTCGCTCCACTGCGCGGCGTTGATGGTGCCTGGCGTGGCAAGCATCGCCGGCGTGGCTCGCGCGGAGTAGGCCTCGAGCCACGCCTGGGCGTCGTGGCTGCGCGCGGCAGGGACGGCCCTGCACTGCTGGCTGACCATGAACGACTGCACGAGGGGGTCGCTCGCGCAGGCCTTGAAGTCCTTGATCCCTTGCTCGACGGCCGCAGTGATCATGGTCATATTCTCCATGGTGCACTTGTTGAACAGGACGTCGATATCGAAGCGGAACACGGGCACATCGTTTCCAAAGGCGCGCAGCCGAAGCAGTGCGTCCACCAATTTGGGCGCGTCATAGCTCGATGCAGAGAACCACTTCAAGAACTCGTCTTCGCCGCGCCTGGACCTGATGTCGCTGAACGGTTCGTTGAAACCGAACGGGGTCAGAATGCGAACCCTTCCGAGCAACCCTAGTTTTGCATTGGCTGCCTTCATGTGCGTTTCGACCGTGTCGTGGAGATCAATCAGTTGTGCCGGCCGTTGCGCATCCATGTCTTTCGCCTGATCGATGACATAATTAACATACGTCTTGAACAAATCTTTCATCCATAACACGCATGACAAGAATGCCTTTCTTCTCGCCATCAACGAGTGCATCAAGAGAGTACTCCAGGATTTTAGGAAGCTGGCTTGCCTTATTCACATGCGTGAACATATAACAGTCACACTGCAAACTGTCTGGACTCTCCACAAGCGAAAGAGAACGATGATGACGAATTCCCGCTGGAGCCGACGGCGCGCTGATGCTGTTGAAGATCAACACAAACATGGCAGCTACGCCGAGAACGCGCGCAAACACATTCGCACGAAGCCTCCTTTGCGACGCGACTGACGATAAGAGGGCGTCGTCTTCGGAACCATCGTTGAACAACACGGAACACTCCGAAGTTCGAATCGGAACTGCGTTCGGAAACATCGCCAAAAAGCGCGGCCCTTCGGAGACACAGTTGGAGTGATGAAGAGTACTGAGCATGACCCAAAATCCGAATCGGCTTGACACAAATCGGCTTGAGCCAAAATAGCCACGGACAGGGCTCGGAGCCGTCTCGGAGGCCTCTGAGCCGTCGTCGGGGGGCCTCGGGGCGTCGCGGCGCCTTTCGGGGTTCCCTTTATGGCTCTCTTGGAAGCCTCTTGAGCCATGTTGGAGCAATGCCTCCTCCTCCTCATCCTCATCCTCATCCTCATCCTCCTCCTCCTCCTCCGCCTCCTTTTCCTCCGCCCCCTCCTCCTCCGCCTCCTCCCCTCGTCTTGTTAGGTTTTCATGGGGCCGCCCTGCACAGGCTCGGGGCCCTTATGGGGGGCCGTCGTGGAGCCCTCGTCCGCCGCCTTTGGGGCCCTCTCGTGGCTCGTGGCGGCTCAACGCGTGGCTTTGGGCTGTCTTGGGCCGTGGGAGGCCGAAGTTTTTCCGTCGGCGGCGAGGCAGAGCTGGCTGCACCGGCGCTACAGCTAAACGAGGGCACCGAGAAGCGAGCTGGCCAGCGTGCAGGAGTATGGAAAGGACACATGGGGCGGCCGCGGGGGGGGGAAGAAGAGGCCGCTCAGGGGGGGAAGCCCGAACCAGGCGAGAAGCCAAAAGACATTCAGAAGACCGGTGGGAAATCATTGCTTTCTGGGGGTTCCTGAGGTCCTCAGCCTCTCAGTGTCTTCCTGAAGGCATCTTAGACCGCCTTGGGATAGCCAGGAATAATTTCGAGCACCCGGAAAAGTATCGAAACAGTGTCGAAACAGTGTCGGACGAGTGTCTCCCAGGGCCCGACATGTGAAAACCCTCGAATTGGGGTACTTTTGGGGACTCGAAAATCTTTCTGGTGACCAGGGCCAAAGTAGGCTGGAACATCATAAGCCTTGGGGCCCTTGTGGACAATCTGGAAGCCAGCTGATACGGGCTGGGATCCCCTGCGCGGTGCGGCCCTGGCGGGGCTGGGGAGGACTGCGCCGTGACGCGGAGGAGAACGCCCACTCTCTCGATCTCCTCCTCCACGCCCCCTCTTAAACAACACTCGCACACCAAATTATCAAGCCACCGTCCTGAACAACAACAACAACAACAACAACAACAACAACAACAACAACAACAACAACAACAACAACAACAACAACAACAACAACAACAACAACAACAACAACAACAACAACTACAACTACAACAACAACAACCACCACAACAACAACAACAACAACAACCGCAGCAACAACAACAACAACAAACATCTTAAGACTGATCGCTCTTATATGCGCGCGCGTCACTCAATATGTAAATCCCAAACCCTCGATACCCACCCTCTTCGTCTTCGGTCATACCCCTTTGGGGGTATATCTTTTTTACTCGCCACGTGTAGTTGGCGCAGCCCCTAAAACAGGAAGAGCAGGGGGAAGGAGGAAGGGAGAGCGAGGAGGAAAAGAGTGGGGGGAGGGAGGGAGGAGGGAAGGGGCAAGGGGGGGAGGATGGATGGAGGACGAAAGAGGTTAGCAGGAGGGGAGGGGGGCAAAAGAGGAGGTAAACAAACGGACGAACCAGACAGACGGGTCGAGCGGCGGACTCTGAGGGGCGGGTCGGGCTGGCGGGGCGGGCGGACGCCAACGGACGGGTCGGGCGGCGGACCCTCGCTGGCGGGTCGGGCGGGCGGTGGCTTAAAGCGGGCGGGCGAGATGCCAAGAGAGCGAACGGGCGGGCTGTAACAGGCGGATCGGGCGGGCGAAACCTGGCGGGCGGGTGACTAAAGGGTGAATCCTGAATGAATCACGAGGCACACCCTCGATACCCGCCCTCTTAGTATTCGAACGTACCCCCTTTAGGGGGATTATTTCTCTTTGGAAGGGCGGGCGGAGGGACGAGGGAGGAGGGAAGGGAGCAGGGAGGGACGAGGGAGGAGGGAAGATGCTAGGAGGGACGGGACGCGGAGGGGGGAGGACGATTTAGAGGGAGAGAGAGAGAGAGAGAGAGGGGAGAGAAAGAGAGAGGGGGGAGGAAGGGAGGGAGGAGGGAGTTTGGAGGAGGGACGAGGAAGGAGAGAGGAGAAACAGGAGGGAGGAGGGAGGAGGCAGGAGAGGGGAGGGAGGAGGCAGACGGGAGGACGGAGGAGGGAGGCAGGAGAGGGGAGGGAGAAGGGAGGAGGAGGGAGGGAGGGAGGAGGGGAGGGAAGAGGGAGGAGGGAGGAGGGAGGAGGGAGGAGGGAGGAGGGAGAGAGGTGGGAGGAAGTCCCAGGCGGGGGCGGGGGTCCGGAGTAATTTGCGAAGAAGTCTCAGGCGGGAGCGTCTCCGCCTGAGTAAACTGCGAGGAAGTCCCAGGCGGGGGCGGGGGTCCTGAGTAAATTTGGAGGAAGTATCAGGCGGGAGCCGTTGTTGTTGTTGTCCGGGGGGCCAACAACGCAGTTTGATGCCCACGACTTTCCCTGATAAAAAACAGGGTGCGAGCCCCGGAAGGGGCACTTCAATTGAAAAAATACAATGTCCGCCGGAGGGGGGGATCAACAATAATTATTCTTCAATAATTAGAGTTCAACAACAACAACAACAACAACAACAATCATTTTACCCGAACGCTCAGTGTTCTCCCCAGTGCCAGGGTTTTCTTGCGACACCAGCCAATACCCCCACTTCGTGGGGGGGCCGTTCAAGCTCTACCAAATATCCAAACGACTCTTCGAGACCACCCACACCCAGCTTCCCGCCCTATGACGTTGGGACACTTCACTTCGTGGCGTGCGGACGACCCTGGCTACTACACTGGCGTGGGGTACACACCCACAGAGGTTGATCACATCTGTTACATATGATGTGGTACACGGTACACGTGAGATGGTACGCAGTGCCAAGATAGTTGGTCACATTTTTGGGGCAAATTCGTGGGGATGCGATTACAGAAGTACATGTGTTACACTGATGTTATACAGTCCCAAGGATGACGCATGCATTGCTCATAGACTCATGAATTATTGAAAACCCATTGTGTTTGGCAGGATTTCGACATGCGCGCGCGGCGGCCGCGCGCATGTGCACTTCGTCTCATTTTTTGCAAGGGATGGTGGCCCTCGCAGGCGCGCAACCGTTGTTGGAGAAGTTCAAAGCACCTGAAGAAGTAGCACGCAAAGACCCTTTTGACAGAAATGTTTAAAAAGTGGTGTGTTTCCTATGAATCCGCAAGAGCGCGCGGAAGGACATTTTGACAATTTTTTCTGAGAAAACCATTGGGTTTTTGATGTTTTTATGTTAAAATCGCTACGAAACCTAAGGTTTTGGAAGGATTTCGTCTTGCGCGCACGAATGTCCACTTTACCTTATTTTTTGCAAGGGATTCTTGCAATTTGATCAAGTAAAAACAAGAATTTTCATTTTCTATTGTTTTTTGCAAGGGAAAACGAGCGTCAACAAAAAACCGGATCCGGAGCTCATCCACTTTTCTGAAGCTTTCGCGAAAAAATGATGAAAATGTAGCTGCGGCCTAGGCGCGGCGCAGAGGTCGCGCACCAGGGGTCCCAACAATAATAATTCTTTAGAAGGAATAATGTTCAACAACAACAACAACAACAACAACAACAACAACAACAACAACAACAACAACAACAACAACAACAACTTTACTCAACCGCGTTTCTGAAAACACAATCGTTCTCCTCAATCTAACACGCGGGCATGTAGCTGACTCGACGATGTTCGCCGTCGCACGTGGAACGCTCGTGGGCGGTCTAGGGCTCTCTTGGAGGGCTCTTAGAGGCCTCCTAGATGGGGTCGGAATAGATGGGGTCGGAGGATCGCGCCGCATCGCCCATAAATCGGCGATGCATCGGCAACGCACTGGTGATGCAAAGGCGATGCATCGTCAACGTCGGCGATGCATCGGCGACGTCGGCATAGAGAAGATCGGGCTCCGCATCTAGGGGGCAAACAAACCTACCTCGCTTTTGACCACCCTCGCTTCCAAGAGATACCAAACGATGCCAAATTGCAGGCTGTACTGGTCAGGTCGCTTGACGAGGAGGCGCGTGGTATGACTTGGTTTTGCCTGGAAGCAAAAGCGGGGTAGGTATTTCACGCTCTGAGCATCGAGCCGCATCGGCGATGCATCGGTGATGCGGCGCGATCCTCCGACCCCATCTACTCCGACCCCATCTATGAAGGGGCCCTGGGACACACAAATGAATATACACAAATAGCCAGATTCCCCATATTTTCCCATATGTTTTGGGCTTTTGCCTTCCCCCCCCGCTTCCCATATTTTTCCATGCTTTCCTGGGGATCGATCATTCATTGTGTCTGTGTGTGTTTTTCCCCTCCTGACCCATCTGGGAGGCCTAGAGCTCCGGGGCCGTCTTCTGGAGCCGCCTTGAAGCTTTCGGACTCGGAGCCACGGCGCCTGGAGGCCCGGCGCGCCACATGGCGAGTGGGGGCACCTGGCAAGGGGCCCCCGCCCAGGAGCCCCTGGGCCGCCCGGAGAGATGCCACGCCGGGGCCGGGGTTCCGGGCCCGCCCCTGACCTACTCCGATGTATAGATAAATAGATGGATTGAATGACAGATAGATCGATAGATTGATGAATATAGATGTATGTATATATATATATATATATATATACACGGATAGATAGGTATCCATCTATATTTATGTATATGTATATATCAATATATGTATACACATATAGCTATGTATGGAAACATCTATATATAGAGATAATATATATATATATATATATATATATATATTGTGTTTACAAATGAATCGGCATATGTATGTATATATGTGTGTATAAGTGTGTGTATTGATCTGCAGGCGTACATATACAGATGTGTGTATGCAGATATGCATGTAGTGTACATGTGTATACGTATGTATGTAAATAGGCCGATGCATATATATATATATACAAATATATATATATATATATATATATATATATCGGAGTTGTACATACAGCTGTACAAATAAACACATTTACATGCACTTGTTATTTTATCTTTTCGCCACAGGAAGAGATCAGAGAAAATCAGATGGAGAAAAACGGGGTGCGGTC